CAAAATCGCACTGTTATCACACACAATGGCACTCTGATTTACATAAGCGCTCCGACATTATGCAAAATCGCACTTCTGCTGAAACACTCTTTTCTCTTAGCCAGAAATGCATTTCAGCATGTTTTTAGAATTTGCTCTTCTTCTCGGCAGAAATACACTATGGCATACGCCCCTCTGCCACTTTTCTGCTCATGTCTATCTTTTTTCTCGCATTTTTTCTAAAACATCGGCGGGTAAGAGAGATTAACTTACCAGAAAGTACTACATTCTGGGAGCGTTCTTCCGCTACGGGAAGTATGAATTCCTCACTGGGTGAGGTTTCATCCGCAATCATTCGGACGATTCTTTCACGATGTCCGTACTTACGCAACTCTTCATTCCTTTCAGTCCTATTATATGCGAAATGTGTCCGTTGTGTGGGTTTTCTGCCGTTTTTCCTGTCATGTGCGTGCCATGCGCATACGCATGGTCTTCATCTGTCTCTCACATCTGCTATGAAATTTCCGTGCTGCGCGTGTTCCGCTATGCTCTTGTTGATACTAAGTTACATAGATGTTCTACACGTACTGTGTTCACGCAACAACAACGGCTCGAGACGTAAAAATGAGAGATCATGATTGCGCTTCAATATCATGCTCGGAAACTTTCTTTCTACTCTACGTTCAACATACATAAGCTGCTTCTCCTTCACTCCGCACAATTCTGGGATTCCTTTTCTATACGACTTCATTCAGATATCTGAGCATGAGGGAACCCTGTACAATCAGAGAGTGTCACAGGCTCGCTGATTCAGTTGTAATCACTGCCTGTGTAACCCTTCCAACGGGTTAGTCATGTAGACTGAGTCGATGTAATCGACTACTCGTGACACGTCATCTCCTTCAGGCCTTGAGTTTTTCAACTTGTTCCACATCCTTGGTGGAATTCCAACTAGAATTTTTCTCGAACTCCCTGAGCACTGCAATGGACACCCCAAAGGTTTTGGACTGCTTCCTCCACTATCCCTGCAACCATGCTTTTAACGGCCTCCAATATGACCAAAGCAGATGACGAGTGAATTTGAAAGTGTGGTTCCAACGTTAACCACATAAGAGGCTCGCGTCTCCGGGAGGCCAGAGGCCCTCCAGCTTGCAAGTCACCTGTGCTCAAGCCCAGCTTTCACTCCAACAGCGCATTAACATCGTTCCTGACCACCTGAGGAAACCTCACAATTACTCAACCGCCCGAGCTCATCGCAGCAAATCACACTTCTGTCCCAGCCTCCGAGACCCGCGAGTTCATGAATCTCATCAAATCATAACCGGCGAAGTCGCCAACTTCCACCACCTCTCCCTCATCTATGCCGAGAATCCGCTTAACGTAACTGATGAATTTCAGAATGCAAGGAGATGAATTGATCTAGTCACTACTTCACCATCCCCACCGACGTTCGTTGTTGCCCTGCATTATTCCACAACTGCTCGATGGCACCCCGAGAAGGTTTCGGCTTGGAAGGTGATATGAGATCCTAAAAAATCTTCCCTAACAATCCAATTTGAGGCGCAATTTTATCAGACGAATAACCAGTAACAGCCAAAGTTACTTAGCAATATATACTTACACTCATGAGGCGCGCTGACTCTGTCACATTCTATATACACTTGATTTCAAGTTTTCGAAACGCGGGAATCAAGTGCTCAATAACTGTACTATTTCCTCGGAATCTTTTCCGTTGACGCTCGCAACGATGGCATACATAACGCTGTGATGAAGTAGAATCCACAGCCTCATCGGCACACCCTGCAATATGGATTCTCATACCACACGAGTCACAATCGGCCATCGCCCCAAAGTCCCTCCCGCGATAGCAAATATGACAGCAGATTGGTTTAGGCATAGGAACCAAGTAACGAAACTGATCATGAAAAAATTTCCCATTGGAAGACAAGCAAACGTCGACGCACGGCGGGTAATGTAAAACAATATGAGTGACGACTTCGCTCCGCCGTCAAACGATCAAAACGCCACGTTACTTATCGCGATTGCTGTTATGTATGAAAAGGGCAACGGACAAAAGAACACTCGAAATACATAACCGCATACAAACTTTATACAAAACAGCATCTGCGATTTCGTAATAACACATTTTTTGCGAATAAGAGCGCAGCCGCTCTTTTGACAGTGCGATTTATTTTTGTGCTGTAATGGTTACCTGCGACTTTTAGTTGTAGAAAACCGCACTTCTGCTGTTCTGTACGTCAAACTACTATTACAGCACATCGCACTTTTTTCTGCTCTTTCTCGTGTGCTGTTTTTCATGGTAGCCTTCCTCCAGAGATGAAGATGACATGAGATTCTCGTGATGAAAATAAACAGGATATATCGACTATCTTGTTGCGTTGAGAATATTCGGGCCCTTATCGGCACACGGCTCACAACGACATAGTAGTGCTGGCAAGACACCGATGGTTCAACGAAGAATTAGTCCACTGTATTGACATGGTACAATAGCAGGTATCCCAAGTGTTTGAAAACAATGAGGATACTCTAAGGGGACATATATTCAGCAATACTAACAGTCAGTGACTTCAGGTCGAACGATGAGAAGTAAGTTGAGAAGAAAGGGCGACCAAGAACGAATGCGGCCATGTCGTTAGGCATGAATGCAAGTACACACCATTCACCATCACAATCGGGGGCGTATTGCTTCGGCGGAATCCGTATCACAAAAGAATGTTGATCATTTCCGACAGAAAATGTGAGAGTCGGAAAGGAGGTGTATCCTTTGTCTGTTATGTACCATAGCCCTTTGCTAGACTTGACGTACGCCCCTGGTCCCGCGAAAGATACGATCTTGTTGAGGTGAGCCTCGAACATACTTCTGGGAGTAAAAATGGAGAAGGCACCCGTGTCGTAAATAACGGAACCGTGTTGCACCGGTTGCGTAAAAATCATCCCTGTAGAACTTATCAGACCATAAGAAGAGAGGTCCGAGTTCAATTGGCTAGCTATATGGGGTTGGATCATCGGGATTATGGTAACAGCTGGTTTCGTGTGACATAAGCCTTCCGAATCGCCGAGTATCAAAGTTCCGGTAAACAACATAACACTATCAGGAGAGCATACTGACACCGCATATTTTTTGATGAGTTTGTTGAGGAAAAGTTGTCTTGGGACCGTCTGAAGGCTGATTGCAGTACGAAAGGCGAGGCCAAGATAATTCCGTGGTTTCTCGTTTGGCATTCTCTGGCCAGGAGAGAAGCCTATTATTAAACGAAATTGCATTTTAAGCTGGTATCCCCCGATTGTGAGAGTGCCTTCGTGCAAGACGGAGGTTATCATCGAGCCATCGTCGAATGTAGTAGCGTCCTTCTTTTCAGCATAAGGGTTGCATGGACCAGGACACGAATAGCAGCCACTTGGTAGATTCTTGCAGGCATCACTCCCGTAGGTCTTCTCGTACCAATCTTTCAGAACAACGTAAGTTCCACTGACGCCAGTATCCATATAAAGGCCTAGTGGTTGCCCGTCGAATTGCACTCCACTAACTATACCATCTTCGAAAGGCAAGACGATCTGACCAAATGCCGCAGGACATGAGCAGGCTAGAACGGTCACAATGATAAGAACTCGCATTATGACTCAACTGTGAAAACAAATCTACTTGAGCCTATATACTCACATTGCACCCGTGTAACTCCGCTGTAGTTGTAGTCGATGTATAGGCTACACAGCGTAGCGTCACTGCTGGTACGCAGGGACATGACGTACAACCATTGAGTCTGTACGTAAGACACGTCATGCGAGATGGTCCAGATAGATACAGGCAGCGACTGCGTGGCTGAGAGAAGAGTGACAGAATACTTAATAACAAGCTTACAGTATCACTAACTTGAATCATCGAAATTGGAAGATATAGGCTCCCCCAAATAGTGATGCTATCCACCACCCATGTCACTGTCTCTTTTTTGTCTACATCTAGCGCGCACTGTCTACTCTTTCACTGCTCCCTTGGTAAGCGAATGATCAAGGAGTAACATCGATTAATGGACGTGGGTCTCGCTGCGCTGGAGCACACACGAGGAGCTCGTTATCGACGAGTGGAATACAAGGTTTCCGCCCAACGTCAATGAGTTAGCGCGCGTTAACATGAGTGTACATTCTTGCTCATGTTGGCATCGTTCTACCGCTTTCCTGCAATCCAGATTGTGAGTTTCAACGAATATATGCAAGATCTATAGTGCGGGCAAAGTCGTCATCCAGGCAATCATTTACTGGGCTCGTTCTACCGCTTTCCCTCTCCTCGAATATCGAGTTGGAGAGTGCAAGTCACCCTACAGCTATGTGGTGCAGGTAGGGGACAAAATTAGAACCAAATCTATCCGGAATTTGGTGAAGCTCAACCACTAGAGCTTCTTCTTTAGAAGGCGAGGAACTGACTGGCATTCACGAATCGTGAATCATGATGATGGTCTCTACCGTGGATTGGTGTCCGAGGCGCTAACGTATTGCCTCGGGTGAGGGCATGATCTGTGACCCTAAGTGTTCGGACGTTAGATTCCCTATCTTGCTAGCCTCGCCGCCTTGTGTCACGCATGTCGTACACATCACTGTCTCGGAGACAATGTCTCTTTATGCTCTGTATGTGTGCTTTCGTACATCCATAGATAGTATGGTTATCTAATATTATCATCGGCTACAGGCGTCAGATCGCACAACATTTCTCTCGGCCCTCCAGAAGCGGAGATCGGATCTTCAAGATCCCGAGATACCCCGCAACCCGTCTAATCGAATTGAAGGGGACGGGTCGGTGACGGGTAGCTTGAAGGGCGCTTAGATCCAAGGCGGTGGGATACAACATCGATGACGGGATGATGCGATGGATTAGCCATTTTGTGAGTCGTCCTCTAGACAAGCGGGCTGATGTAACAATTGCAACAGATTGAATCTACATAGCTAGACGCTAGATGATCTGTCTTAGACCAGACCGATGAAGAGCATAGTAATGACTCCGGCCTAAGGGAACGAGACGTGCAGTGACGACGTCACTGTGACATGTCTATCTAGCCTGCAGCAAATCGCCTCTTGTATAGCGTAAGGTTTATGTCCTGAGGGACGTATACCTATAGCGGTCCCCAATGATAGCATCTCCCCTAGGTTTGGTAAGGTCAGAGATTCCCATCCTAGAGAGATATCCAAGCTATTTTGAAGGGATGGGATGAAACCTAACAGTGCGAACTCACAGCAAGAACTCATTCTTCAAGCTTCAGCTTTCACTCTGGTTCTCATCCTCAACTCTTATGCGTCCCACTTTTCTGGCAATCGTCGTGCTCATCATCGCTGCCGCTGGTATCAAAGGGAGTAATCAGGGAGACCGTCCTTTGATTCAGCGTAGACTCAACTCGAAGTCTCTTGCTGGTGGATGCGCCGAATGCTCGGCCAATGAGTGCTACTGCGTTACCTTCAATTGCTTCTGCAAAGACAAATCGCTGTAAAGTTCTCCGCATGGGTAGTCCCCTCTCACATTTTCGAAATTTTGCCAGCCATTTGATACATTTTCCTATCCGAGTTGCGTTACACAAGTTACACATGTAACATGCTGGAGAATCCCAACTTGGAATTCTCCAACATGTGTACCTTGGGATTCCCAAGGTAACAAGTTGGTAAAATACTTAATCCGCGTGCAGCAACAAACAGCAGTGGCTAGCAGCCATTGTCCTCCATGAATCTTCACTGAGGAGAGATAACTGATAGGGGTAGAAAGTGCTGACATGTCACTAACAACGAATTCCCTCGTGGAACCTTATAGACAGTTTCGAGTCTGGACGGAAAACTCGAGAGATGACTAATATATAGCAAGCGAAATTACCATTGCTTGAAAAGTTGTCAATGACAACCATGGACGAACAGATCGCTCTAGGCTCGAATATTCACGAATATTATTACCCTTAGATCGCACTGAGCGTAGGTTCGAAGACAGAAGCCCAAAGAGCGATATGGAGATCCTCCTCATTTCTCGAGTCAGATATCTTCGCTTCAAAGGGTTCATCTTCGCTGTAGCCCAACGTAGTAAAATTTATTCCAGGCAGAGGGCCAATCGGACGAATATCATCTCATACATCCAGGTTCAAGCATAGTTCTTCTGTGTACTCTTGAAGAACTCTTCGACAATGCAACATCACTACCATCATCATCGACTCGGTACTAATAACTCGAAATGCATGCTGTATCGTACTAGAAACTTCTGCCAACGCGAATGTTAGGGCGGACAGAAGAGCTACAGAATTACGTTAATGGCAGTGCCATGGAAGTATGTATATCCCAAGACGGGATAGGGGAGGGGCAGAAACGTTGGAGCTAATCAGATTGTGAGGTAGCTCAGGTAGCTCAATAATTATGTACGTACGTAGCCTATTGAGGCAGACACTTGTCAAAGAGGCCTAGTAGCTGACTGATAAGACAGACGCCGTATCCAGTAGCCTTGTTGTCCATGAACTCAACGGGATAGGCCATGTCGACGTGGAGGTATTTGATATCTTCCTCCGTTTTAGCTACTGCAGCAGCAGCCATCATATTCTCATACACGAACCAGCCAGCACAGGAGACTTGCGCATTCGTTCTGTTCTTGACCTGAGAGTAAAGAGGACTAACCTACAACGAAACTCTGTCGCTGGGTCAGAGTCGAGCTACTTCAACGAGGTGCTCCAAAGTGAATTCAGCATCTCCGACAACCACCAAAACGGTAAAGTTTCTAACGGACTCCATCTCTCACAAAATTAAAATTAGCCAGGCTTGCTGCGATTCGGCCGGTATCAGCCTAGTTGAAAACTAAAGAGCCACTCCGGCTAACCTACCGAGTTCTTCATATCAGCGATGTCGCTCTGGAGCTCAGCTCTGTGGAATTCCGGACAGAAGATTAGAGGATGAACCAAGTCGCCGATCTGCCTGCCAGCTTCGACAGCAGCCTTCTCGATCTCTTCAGAATTTGCCATAATAGCCGCATGATAGTGGCCTGCAGCAATACCACTAGCTCCAGTGAGAGTAGCCATGTCCACCAACAACTCTGGGTTCAAATGCTTGGCTGCATATGCGGCACCATCGGCCATAACGAGGCGGCCTTCGGCATCAGTGTTGTTGATCTCAACAGTGAGACCAGAATACATTGTAATGATATCATCCATACGTAAGGCGTTAGGGCCAATCGAGTTCTCAGCGAGGCAGCCCACAAAGTACAACGGTTTTCCCAACTGCACATCACATTCCACGATCGCGGCGAACGCGCCCAACAGGCCGGCAGAACCTGACACGTCACTTCGCCACAAAACCCCTACAACCGCATCTTCGAGTAAATCCATAATTCAGATTTGAAACTATATCACGACTGTAAGTCTTATTCTAGAATCAAATTCCCCTATTAAATAAATTATTACAATCAACTCGTCCGAGCAACTGCTAACAGCATTGTTATCATTCAGAGAGGTTGTTGCTAGTTGCATACGGTTGAGGTCGCCTTAGTCATTCTCAAGCGAGCCGATAGTAGTACCTCCCATATCCCTCTTCATCATGGACATGCCTTCCCGACTCTTCAAGGCCAGTCCACCCGTATCATATACGATACCCTTACCGACTAAGACTATCGATTTATCCTCAGCCTTGGCCTTGGAGGCGTTCCACGATAGTATCACCAGCGCTGGGGGGTTGGCCGTACCTGTCGGGACATCCATCGCTCCTTGGTCCGCCACATTGCTGTAGACCTACAAGCCTTGCCGACGTTCCAGAGGCCACCGAATCCCTGATCTTCGAGGTCCTGTCCCTTGATAACTTTCATATCAACATCGCGGCCCATCGCTTTCAGACCAGCCACGAGATGTTCCATAAAAGTAACGTATCTACACCGGATACCGTAAACAGCTCAATTTGGACAGAATTGAAGTACGTAGTAGTATTGAGGAAGTTTGTTGGCATGTCCGTAAGCGCGGCGGACATCCTCATCTTATCCACCACGACATCCAAAGCCTTGCAGAGGTCCTCATCAGCGGGGCCCGACTCTGCCGACCACACCTCCACAGTGACCTTCGGGTTGGGCATTTCGCAAGGAGCTCCACGTTTCGTGCTAAGGTTGAATCGCACAGCTGCTCGGCCGATGGAGATTCCCGTCACAGCAGCATCTCTGGCTGTTTTCCCGAGAGCGAAGACGTGAATGGCCCGACTGCCAGGAGCAGTGAAATCTGGGAATTTTACCAACGCCTTGGCGACCGCGTCCGGACGGGCCGGGCTGAAATTATGAGAAGAAGAATGGGAACTCGACTACGGAACCTCGAACTACTTGTTGTGACGTGAGGCCTCCGTAGGAATGTTGATAATAACGAGTTTAGCAAGCTTTGAGCCATCGGCACCATCCTGTTTGATGAGAGTTACCACTTGTGCAGGGCCAGATGAGCCTGAGTTGAGGTATGCAATATCGATCGAAATTCTCAACCACTACTACCATCCTCGTGAGCAGAGACGAAATCGCTCAATTCTTGCTTGAGGCAATCTGGAGCCGTACAAGAAAACGCCTTCAGTGCTGCCAACTGTCCGACGACGAAAATGC